GTGGTGATGGCTGGGCCATGGGGAGGTGGAGGGGTTGGGGGGGGCAGGTTGTGGTGATGGCTGGGCCATGGGGAGGGGGAGGGATTAGTGCTGGCTGGACTGTGGGAAGGTGATGAGGGGTTGGGGCGGTTGGAAGATGAAGAGGGATGTGGGGACTTCAGTGGCTGGTTTTGGGGTTGGGAGTCAGGACAATGTTGTGTGGGAGGGGATAGCTGGCACTGGGGTGACGATACAGCGGGTGCATGTGGCTAGTCAGTGAGGGAGTGGGATTTGGGACTGCAGATGTGGGGAGTGGGTGTAGGGGTTGGTGCTGTTGTGATGTGGGGTGGGGCTGAATTAGTGTTCCTGTCTGTTCAGCACCTTTGGAGAGGCAGTGTTGGCAAGCCAGCTTTGCCTCGAAGCTGCTGCTCAGATGATGCCTTCCTCCGTTTCTCCCCTACTCGAGGGATGCACTCTGCACTGAGAAGGTCACGTTTCTCTTTACCAAACATTGTTCATTGTGTTCATTGTTAATGCAGCAGTTTAGTTCTGCACAGTGCCATTTTGCAGTGTGGTTGTAGCAAACTGTGCAGCAGGACTGTGCTGAACGGTGATTCTTGAAAGATGTGTCCATGCTAGATTTCTTTCTTAAAATCCCACTGTTGCTACCAATCTCTAGGCAACAGGCTTCTATGTTCCAAGCAACACACAATAAAATATAGACCACTAAAGGATCAAACAGAAGCACATGAAGCATTGTGGGTGAGCTGTCAGATTTTTACTAAACTTTCCTTGTCTTTCTCTTTCAGGATTTTGTTGCAGGTGAAAGTCTGAGGAGTGTTATGACTTCAAAGATTGTTTTTGTCTATTGCCCATTGGGCCACAAAAAGATATGGCTACAGAAGCTAAGTACAACATTGTACGGGAAGTGGGCCGAGGGAGCTATGGGGTAGTTTACGAGGCAGTTGTCAGTCAAACCAGAAACAAAGTGGCCGTGAAAAGGATGCATTGTAACGTACCTGAAAATGTGGAACTGGCTTTGCAAGAGTTTTGGGCCCTGCAAAGTGTTCAGAGCCAACATGAGAATGTGATCCAGTTAGAAGAGTGTGTCTTGCAGAGTGGCCAAGTCTTTCAGCCAATCAGCCGCCAGTACAGGAAATCGGACAGTCATCTGCTGCTGATTGAGACCTGTCTGAAAGGGCGGAGATGCATGGACCCCAAGTCTGCCTGTTTTGTGTGGTTTGTGATGGAGTTCTGTGATGGTGGAAACATGAATGATTTTTTGCTGTCTCGCACTCCAGATTCTCAGCTGAATAATAGCTTCATGCAGCAGCTGAGCAGTGCTGTTGCCTTCTTGCACAGAAATCAGATTGTGCACAGAGACCTGAAGTCAGATAATATTCTCATTTCCCATAGCCCTGGAGGTCCTGTAGTAAAGGTAAGAGGGTAATCCTTCTTGCTGCTGCTCAATATGTGGGTGAAGTGTTATGCCAATTGCATTACTTGCACTGAGTTGGTCACTTGGATAATTGTGATATTCAGTTTCCTCATTTGTTTCCTTCCCTTTGAACTTTTAGACAAGGCCGGGCAATTCACTTGTATGAGTCTCAAAAGAGAATTTTGGTGAGGGTGTGGGGCAGTCAGTTACCTTTTGGCCTCTTTGGGGAATCCTGAGAGCATTTCTGTAGCATCTTTCATGCACAAGACATTCCCTTAAGAGGAACAATTTAGGGCTAATTCAGTTTTAAACCACTACCTAGCCACTGTGTTCCTGATCAGTGGTGGAATATTTTCTCAATGAAAGCAGCAGGGCACTTGTGATTTCAGTGCAATCACACTGTTGGGTCCAGGATCTATTGGGGCTATACTTGGTAACACTGAGACTAGAGGGTTGCCATGCTAAATGGTAGAGGGTAAAGTTGCTCGCAGAGAGGGACATTTTAAATACACTCTGGATTAACTGATTGCAACTATGGTTCCGGCTTTCTGGAACAGATTAGTTTTGTCCTTTGGGGGTATGGGAAGGAAGCACGAAGATATTGAGAATAAGGTCTTCAAAGGTTTATACAGCATATTCCCTTCCCTTATTGGTGGACCTCCAGTCCTTACACACTTGTCAGCACTTCCAATATTGTAGTTTATAGCACTATTTGCTGTTTTGGAAGCAAGGGGTTTTCTTGTCTCTTGCTTCATCTGGGCTCCAGCCAGGGGTCTTCATGGTTAAACTGAAGACTGACTAATTCTCTTCCTTACAGTGACAGACTGAAAACAAGTCTTTCTCTGTAATAATTCAATGGGAAGAGCAGCTTAGTGGCAAGAAAGTCAACTCACAGTTTACTCCCAATTCCCCGGGTGTTCCAGCAGTTAACTCAGAGGAGGGTAGGCCTGTCCCTTGTGAGTAACCCATGTCTTGGCCCTCAAGATCAATACTGGCATATTGCTTTCACCTTTGGAGCAGCCAAAGGACAATCAAACTGAAGTTTTGTTATTCAATACAGATAATAGTGAATATAATAGTTCAGAGCACTCAATATAGCTACCTGCTCAATTGCTGTTCTGTTCATGCCTGTATGCACCGTACAATGATATAGGTAATAATGGTGACCTCCTAATCTCTCCCCTTTTCGTCAATAGGTAGCGGACTTTGGCCTGAGTAAGATATGTCAGGGGAAAGTGAATGTGAACCAGCATTGCTTCTCGTCAGCCTGTGGGTCAAACTTTTACATGGCACCAGAAGTGTGGGAAGGTCGTTATACTGCCAAAGCTGATATCTTTGCCCTTGGGATCATTTTCTGGGCTATGGTAGAGAGGATTACCTTCAGGGATGGAGACTCTGAGAAGGAATTACTTGGTGAGAATTATTGCTGTACAGCCAGCAATGAACCCTAATGGATAGATCATTCTCCTGCCCTATCCCCAGCAATCCTCTAAGTCCTGAGGATCCTTCTCCCAGGCATAGTCACATCACCACCCTTTTTTCTGGCATAGTATTGGATATGGCTTCCTCTGGAGTCTGCCAACATTTCTCCATGTCTCCACCAGAGGTATTGCCAGAAATCCATAAAGCCCTCTTCCCCTTTCTCCCTACCCCTTTCCTCATGTTGATCCGCTTCCTTTGTGGGACTCCCCAATCTTTAAGACCTAGGAGCAACATGTTTAGAGCACATTCTTAACTTTACGTTTGTTTGAAAGCTTTGTTAGACTTTTGTGATCTCTACCGCTTTTCCATTTACAAAAAACTTTTGTGACATAAACGGCCAGGAGAAGAAAACTTGTCACCTGGCTTGGGCCATCCATTGAGGATAGGGGGTTGGGAGATCAACAGGTGCTCAGCAGAAATGGGACTAGCTCCAATGAACTTGAATAGACCAACCAACCAAAGAACTCCAAAACAAAACCCCCAAACATATTCCAAAGGAAATACTGAAACTCAGAGTTCAATTCCATTGGTGAAGCATTTTCAGTATATCCACACTCTGTGGTCAAGATTCAGCAGCTTGATAGCCATGTCTGCTTTACCAGTGGTTCTCAAACTTACTTGATCGCGCCCCCGCCTTCCTTGTGTCTGTGGTAGTTTACGCGCCCACCTCCCGTCACACAAGTACATCTACCGATACGTGCGGTGGCGGTGCTTCACTTGAATGAGTTTTGGTGTCTTTGTTTTTCACTTGAGTTGTTTTTTTCTGTGGCACGAATGAGCCAATGATCCATTGTAATAAGAGCAAAAGCAAAACTGCAATTGTGGTCCATGCTGACACTTAAATGTGCAAATGGATTAACCTACAAATGGCAATTTGTATAATGCTAGGCAAGCTTAACAGAAATCCATCAAAATGCACAGCGCCATCTAGAGTCAAATGCAGACCTGATGTGTCTGGAGGAATCATCTTTGCTAGTTGTTCATTGCTGGGGGCAAAATGTGCGCAGTAAGTTTCCCCCCTGCCCCTTCCCCTAAATCTTCTCACGCGCCGCCACCCAAATACATTCTGCACCCCCCAGTTTGAGAACCTCTGCCCTACCTTGTTGCCCTTGCAGTAAATCTATCTTTCCTTGAAGATAGGCTGATCTACAGTTGGTACATTTTGTCCTGCTGATGGTGGTGGTATATTTAAAGGCCACAAGGCAAAGGACCCATCCAAAGGATTGTAAGGACGTGTAAGAAAATAGGTTATAAGGCTGGAAGGGATGTTTAAGTCATCCTTAGTGCTGTGTCTGGCTGAACGAGATTCTACAGGGATGGATGGTCTGTGATTCTAGGAATATATGTTGCAACAGAAAATGCACCTTGAAAGAACAGAATGACAATCTTTTATATGAACATACTAATCAGAGGCATTTCAACTCCTACTCAAGGAAGCCTAATGTACACATTTTTTTAAATATCTGACATCATAATTTCAAGTCACAATAAAGACATTCAGAGACGGCTCCTTTTACTGAGCGTCTGCTTTAAGTTTTCAAAACATAATGGAATTAAGAACTGAGATCGTTCCTTTTCAAAATGCCAAACCGGAGAAAGCCTTTTAGTTCTTGGCTAGAAAACCAGTAAATATTCTGGGTCTGAGACCAAGGCACGAACAGACTTCATTGAAGTTTATTCAATAGCCATCCGCCAGCTCGAGATAAGAGACTTGCCTGGCTAACCTCCATATGCAGATCGGTCATTTATTCAATGCTTGCTGCGAGGGCAGAGCAGCTTGACTGAGCAGTTTCCTTTGCTGTCTCTTTGGAACCCAGCTAATCCACTTTGCCCAGTCTTTATTTACATTTCTGTTCCTTAATTTTGCTGAGGAGAAGCTGTATCCAGCAGTCTGGATAAAGGTAAATGGAACATACTGTCATTTATTATTAAAAGTGGTTTGAATCACTATTTGCTCAGTTCACTTTTTTCTATGTCATCTAAAGTGAACCAAACACAACCTGCCTCTTTCTGTCTTAGCTTCCAGTTCTACTGATGCAGTAAAATTAATTGAAACCGAGTGGAGTAGGGGAAGCTCTTCGCAACAGGCTGTTTTCTTTGCATGCAATCCCTATAACCATTTGACAATGTCCTGTGCAGGCCAAATTTAAGTGTCTTTGTTTCCCTCTGCTTGATGCACACTTGGTGCAGAAATGGGGATGTGACCAACTTAATGGTTCCTATTTTGGTAATGAACTTCTTCTGGGGCTGGTATCGTACAACACTTATCTTGGCAGTTGCCTCTGAAGTTGGGTTTCACATGCTGTGAACGTCTACTAATAAATCTTGTGTTGCTTGTCAGATGGATGTGTGGTGTGGATTCTCCTTTTCCCCAATCTGACTTCTCCCTCTTTACAAACTATACCCAGGAACCTACATCTGTCAAGGCAAGCAGCTTATTCCTGTTGGCGAGGCACTGCTGGAGAATCCCAACATGGAACTACAAATTCCTCTGAAGAACAAGAAGTCCATGCCAGACGATCTCTGCAGACTCCTGCATGACATGTTAACGTTTAACCCAAAGGAAAGACTGGATGCCTTCCAACTAGAAATTCGAATCCGGAGAATCTCCTATGGGAAAAAGCGCCAACGTTCATAGCAGCAAGGGGTGATCAGGTTGGTGTCTGTACTGGGGTAATCTCATTTCAAACTTGCAATCCTAGTTTTTGATACTGACCTGATTGGCCTAAATTCTTTATCTCTAACAGCAGTTCCCTAGATTCATTGCTTGGTTTCTTTCAGTTTGATTGCACCCTTCACTGTCAGGATAACTGCTCTATAGGAGCAATATTTTGGGTTCAGTATATTGTATGGCCCCATGAGTGGTAACTGCTCAGCACATTTATAGGTAATAGAACAGGAAATAAGAAAGCAGTGTCAAATTAACCTGTTTCTCCCTAATAAGCACCTGTAGTGGGTTTCGCACACATTCATTACTGTGTGTTACCACATATTTTCCACGTGTGGATGCACCTTGGCACTCTCTTGCATGTTAGACAAATGTGAGCCAGGTTATATAATGAAAAGTTGACCGTTACGTTTGTGCCAAGAGCCCTATCAGATTGGGGGTCGTGTTGTACTCGGTAAGGTGCTGTACACAGAGAAAGGTGGGGTTCCTGCCTCAAAACTGCTTTTATAAACAGGTCTCGGTCCTGAAATAGAATCTGCTAGTGTGTGTCTCTCTGCCCTTCCTGGGCCCCTATGAAAATCATGCTGCCGATTAGGTCTGACTTTATGCTCACGCTTTAAAATTTTGGCCCTAGTCATTGAATGTTGTTGTTTGACCTTTTGTGTTAGTTTTGTTTTTGAGACTAGACAGTAGCAGCTTTGTTAAAACCTCAAGTGTGTACAGCACAAATTTCAGGAATTCTGTCAAATGTTTTGTATATTGTGATGAGGAAGCAGAAAGCCGTTAGTAGGGTAGTGACCAAAACACTTCATTCTGTTGCAAATTACACTAATTCACTGTAATTTTCGAATTGTTGCCTCTATTTTTAAGTCTGCTATAAGACTGTTCTCCATGGCGGACTGCAGAAATGTTAGTTGAAATGAGCTGCAATAGAGATTGATACCAATCACCCTTCTTTTGCCCCCAAAGGGGTCTCTTGCCTCCTTTCCTCACTGATAGAAAACCCCAGCTTTCTTGCTGAAGAATACTGGGCTCTCTCAAACCTACCAGGCTGAAGCACAGTTGCCTGTAAGGGTTGCTAGTTTTTTCTTCCTGGAGCTGGGAATGTCTTTCGGGCACCTCTAGCTCATATCAGTCTGAGAAGCAAGTGACCCCCAACCTGAAACTTGTGGTCTAAGGCCATTTTTTTCAAAGTACAGGTCACGACCCAGGACTGGGTCGCAGAATGTCAGGCACTGGGTCGCCTGGCTGATTCAAATTATAACGATCGTTGCTGCGCAGCGGCTCTAAAGGGCCGTGCAACAGGGACCTGAAGAAGAGAGAGGTAGGGGGTGGGTGGGAACTGGGGAGGGGAGCAAGTTATGGCTTGCAGGGCTGCTGCCGGCAAGGGGAGAGAGGCCCTTCCCCCCTGAGCTCTGTGCTGCCTGCCGGCAGGGGGAGAGCTGGGGGGAGTCCTCTGGCCCCAGCCCTGGGGCAGCCTGCCTGCACCCCAAACTCCTCATCCCTGACCCTACCCCAGAGCCCTCACCCGCCTACATCCCAACCCCTCTGCCCCAGCCCTGAACCCCCTCCTGCACCCTGAACCCCTCATCCCCAGCTCCACCCTAGAGCCCTCACCCCTGCACCCCACCCTCTGCCCTACCCTGGGCCACCTCCCACACTCCTTACCATAGGGTTACTAAGGCTAATGTCTAGCTAGTTATGTAAAGTGGGGTAAGCTGGAACGTACTGCAATGTTAGGATTTTATGAAAACTCTAGTCAAAAGATATTATGATGTTGGGTCACGGGCATCAACAATTTTCTTCAGCTGAGGAAAAAAGTTTGAAAACCACTGGTGTAAGGCACTGTCGTACCCAACAGTACACTAACTATCGGATCAGTTTTAGACTGTTTACTATCATTTGACTGTGAATTCTTAAGCTAATGGGGACTAGAACATAAAGGATGCTGTACAGGGGTTCTCAAACTGGGGGTTGGGAGATGATTACGGGGGGGGGGGTGTCAAGAGCTGTCAGCCTTCATCCCAAACCCAGCTTTGCCTCCAGCATTTATAATGATGTAAAATATATTAAGTGTTTTTAATTTATGGGGGGTGGGGGGGGTGTTGCACTCAGAGGCTTGCTGCATAAAAGGGGTCACCAGTACAAAAGAACCACTGCTGTAGAAGACTGGAAACATCATCAGATTCACATGGTGGTTGCAGTTTTTTAACAGTAAATCTGGAGACTGAAGTCCTCTCTCTGAATTGCAGGTACAGCAGGCAGGGCAGGGCAAATTCCCCCACGAAGCCCTATATGGCTGTCTCAGTCCTCTGCTTCAGCAGTCTCCTCTCAGGAGATAGGGTAGCTCACTTGATGCTTGTTCAATTTTTGACCTCTCTGTTGAACCAGTGCAGTGGTGGTTTAGCTATGTAGAACGTTTTACCCTAGGAATTAGGGTAAACCACTAACTAGACATCAGATGGTAAAAGATTTCAGTTGCCACCAGTTTGGGCTGGAATTGAAACTGAATTTCTCTGCTAACATGTAATCTGAAATAAGGGTTCTTGTCCTTGGAATGCTAGTCTAATTAAGGTGTGGTGATGAGGTCTTTTGATTATGACTGGCTTCTTCCACAGGTCCTGTATTCCACTGTTACCATCACACAGGCATCCTGACCAATACTTCTGAATTCTCCTTGGATTAATGGTTTGACCTTGAGGGAGACCGTTCAGAATAAATCTTGACTGCTTCCCATTTCCCCCAATGGTTGTATGTAAAGGAACAATTATTTATTTGTATAGTAATTTTAATATGCAAGTCCTATATAGCTTGCCCAATTTTTTTAATGGAGTATTGCAGACTGATCCTTCACTTGTATAATAGTGAAGAAGGATGTTGGTGACTGAGGCTGCCAACCTTATCAACTCGGTGGCCATGCTCCGAAGTGTCAATTCCACTGTCCTTGGTACAGCAGATGAGGATTGTCTTGTGCAGTGTTTAATTAGAGCTTTCCATGTAATTACTTCATTCCATGGTACTTGGCCATGTAACTAAATGGTGGCTGTTTTTGAAAGAGTGGCATGGTGTAATCTAATCTAATGTTTATCCAAAAACTTTCTAGCAGAAACAATGTATTTTCATCACAGTAGTTTGTGAATATTCTTGCTTAGATTAACAGAAATGCATTCTTAAAATAAATACAAAGACTGTTTAATATGCCAAATTGTTATTGGAATGTATGCATCACTATTACCTTTAGTTTAGAGACTGAAGCTGTCTGCTGTGTCAGCTGTTTGTCCCAGCTACTCTGACATGGGAAACGAAAAGGACTGAACTGGAGTATTGGCAGGTAAATAGGGACTCAACCTATTTCCAACCTGTCTGAAAATAGTTAACACCTCTGGGATTGATTTAACTCTTTCTAAAAGCTCTTAGTTCTAGGAAGGTGACTAAGTAGCCCTGGTTTTCCCTCCAATTCTCTTCTTGCCCTAAGCTCTATTTTAACTTGTGGTTTGGAGGTGGGCTACTGTATCTTTGGACACAATTGATATTATGGGACAGGAATGTATTGTCAGAGGAAGATAGAAGAGAGCTCCTCTTTTTTGTCTCAATGTACACTTGTGCCATACAGGAGCCCTTGCTCACACAGGCATTTTGGGAGGAGGTCTTGAGGGAGGAAGCAGACTTAACTGATGTGAAGTCACAACAGCACCATTTATGGAGGGAGAACAGTGCTTGGAATTAATGGCAAAAATTGTTTGAAATATGTTACAGATTTTTAAAAATTAATCAGATCTCTGGGCCTTGTCCTTCTGCTGTGGATGCATTAGCTATTGCCTGTAAACCAGTCTCCATTCTCTTCCCTTCCATTCTGGCACAGAGTTGTGACTGCAATATAAAAGCTTCTGCATTCCCTCATCTTAAAAGTTTGTATAGTAAACCTTCCCTAGAATATATTCCACACTACTTACTTATTTGATTTGGAAGCCCTAGTGGGCTTCACAGGAAGAAGTGGAGAACTCTCCCTATGGCTTGGTGATACCTACCTCCGTAAAATGCGGCACTTCATGGATACCTTGCAGATTCAAGTCATCTGAGCTCTAGCTGTAACCATCAAATAACAAATGAATATCCAGTATTAATGGTTACTGATCAGAGCTGCTGCAGGAACATACTCACCCCAAACTCTCCTTTATGAAACTTTTGGCAAAAACAAAATCAAACTTAGTGCTGGTGGAAGTTGCTGGCCTGGCAGTTATAGTGAGGTAGCAGTGCAAACGTTTGCTCTCCATTCTGCCCTGGACAAGTAGATTAGCTATAGCAATGAAAGGAGTTGGTTCTTCCCAGCCGGTTCAGCATTGCTCAGAGGGATAAGTTTGGATAGGCTCAAGCAGGTGAGAATGGGAGTCTGAAACTCATTTGTCATCTGGAAATTTCAGATGTATTTTGGAGAAGGTTCTTGTCTCATTAAAGCAATGAGACTATTAGTAAGTATGCTTTGGCTTTGGTCTGCTCTTCTTCCCATACAATACTGCTCAATTTTACATCTTGTGGTGTTGCTGTGGCTTCATTTGTTTCTCAAGTTAGGTGGCTCATATCTCATGATCTTTCTGAGAAACTACAGCACCAGCTTTAGGCTGCAAAATTGTTCAACCTGCTTTACTGAAGAAATTATTCTTTTAAAATGTATTTCTTCTTTCTTCACTCCCACAGCTATTGAAACTGTGCTGTCTGGCTCTCCAGTGCCATCTGTTCTTAGAACAGGCAAAGTCTGCTAGTCTTGTGGAACCATCATAGTTGAGGAAGAGTCAAACTTTGGAACGTAGACCACAATTAAGATTACACCTGGCAATAAAACCACTCTGAGGCACTTTAAATGTTTTTGTGGCACAGGGTTGGCTACTCACTGTAACTCTTGCTTGTTTTATCATACTTTGTTGATGTTCTCCACAGCCTCTGTTAGAAATACTTATTTGTATGTGTGCGCTTTTGTTACCTCAGACTG